CTCAAAGTGGAAATGCTTCAAACTAACCAGCAATCACAGTATTGATGCATTCGTAAAGTAGTGACATTGCCGAAGTACTAAAAAGGATATTTCAATCAAACGAACGAAATATAATCATAAACCAATTAGGCTACAAAAAAATTCGAAGATAAGCATTTGAAAATCAGATGAGATAGAATAGTCTCCAAACCTGTTTATGAGATTCGTGAGTGGCTCTAGAAGCTTTTTACCCAGCCGAGGCTCTAATGGCACAAGTGCTCCAAACTGGAAACAAAACAGATAAAACCATTCCGTCGAGGCAAAGAAGGTCCTAAGAAAGTTCTCGACCCAAATCTCATAACACATGAGGCAGTCAAATAAAGATGAAATCGATAGTGAACACATTTTTTGCCTGTTCTGAACAGATAAACTGCATTGTCATTAGAAAGCCGTTACTGTATTTAAGAGTATAAACCGAGAAGAGGAAACGTATCACGATAAGTCCAGCAAGCAAATCGTAAACTCGCCAATTTGATGATTTTTATCAACATCCAATTGTTGCTTGATGTTGTCATTAGCTTGAAGAACACGGGAGCCAGCGTAAGATAGTTCTTCGGATTCTTTCTAGCCAGCTCACAAATCACATTCACGGCAGCACTTTGAACACCTATAGTATGCACGATAGAATGCTGAAACTTTACTTATTTAATTAACAATAGTAAACTATCCAATCATTCTTCACATTCTTATGCTTCAACTACGGCATAAAAATTCTCAAAAAGGTAACAATTTAGCATCATAAAAGGAACCATCTAAAATAAAACCAATGCTTGCGCACTTTTTCTTTCCGCTCCAAGTGAAACCGAAGACACAAATGCTAGCACACAAAAAAAGTTAAAACGGATAAGATTTCAGAAACATTGTAAGGAAGGTATAACATCTTCATTCCTAATCTATATAAATTCAGAGAGATTACCTGGATCCGGATCCTCAAGCTTATCTTTCAATCTTGGAAAGGTAGGTCGCAGAGCTTCCGGATATTTGAGGAAGATTTTGTATAGTAATAAAACAGCTCTCTTCCGTGTGTACGGTCGGGATGACGACAGCTTAAAAAGCATCCAAAGATGATGAAGGTACATAAATCAGCGGAACGACAGCAACACTAAAAAAGCTGAGAATATTTTACCAGGTTAACTATATCGCTAGCAAGATCTCTCGCTAAATCGGG